CTTTAGTTGCTTTAACTCAAGTGTAAGTGTACCACACTAAATAAGCTTTTTTTAGTACAACATACAATTTCTATTCCACTTTACTTTGTTTTTTTTTAAAGCAATCGGCTTGCACGCTTTTTCTAAGGTTAACTAATTAGAATTTACTTTAGTATCCACGCTTCTTCAGCACGTTAGCATGGTATGTTAGCATTAAGCTATACCGCCGAGACTCCCGGCAGTGATTCATCATCTTGGGAACATCAATTTTTGTACCAACTTTTAATTGATTTGTGAAGTTTGAATCTCTCTGGCACCACTCCAGGCAGAGTTTAGATGTTCATTCCAGTCCATGTTTAAGCAGACATTCTGAAGCCTTTTGAAAAAGTTCTTAAGAAGACTGGAGACCAGATTAGTTGACATGCAGACAGATTTCTTTCACTCCCTCAGTGCGTTTCTCTTCTTGTCTCAGTTTCTCCTCCCTGCCCCGGCGGTTCTTTCACTCTTTTAGCAGCGTCTGCGTCTCTGCTGCTCGGCACAAAAGCCCCGGGTGAGGTCCAGAGCTGCGGAGGCCGTTTGTCCAGCGCGCTCAGTCGCTCAGCTGAAGACTCCCTCCTTCCTGACTGTGGGGGTTTTTTTTTACCTTGGGTGGCAACTGCATGCGGAGAGCCAGGGATTAGGACAAAGGCAGGGTGCTGTTTAGCCTTGTTTGTGTGTGTGTGTGTGTGTGTGTGTGTGTGTGTGTGTGTGTGTGTGTGTGTGTGTGTGTGTGTGTGTGTCCTAGTTTGGATAAGCTGGCATGCTGCCAGGGGTCTTCTAAATGAGTTACATTTAACAGGCCCTTTCAGATTCGGCTGTCACTATAGTCCGTGTTATTTAAATGAGTTACACACACCGAGCCCTTTAAAGTAAGATCCAATCCCCTTAAGAGAGTTTGACCCACTGTTGGACACGACTGCTGGTGAGATCTGAATTTACTCTTTCTCTTCAGCTGTAATGAAGACCACCGAACCAGACAGCTGTCCTTTCTTACTCCCTTACAACGCTCTGCCGGCCCCTGAACGACTACTTTTAATATTCATGAGGTGATGATCACTAATAAATAAAACATTTCAGAGGCAAATAAAATCAGACAATTAAAAATAAGACAATAACAAAATAAACAGATTAATCACATTTCTAAAATCCACCAGTCATTTCCTTCCTGTCCCCAGGTGTTTATGGTAATTACTCCAAAGTGTCCTGACTGATTACGACAGTGACACGTTGATGTTTAAAGACGCTGCAAACAGCAGCCTTCAGATAAATCAATGACCCCAGCCATAAACGGCTGCTCACGGTCCTCTCCGCCTCCATTTTCCCATGTGGAGTCCGTCCTGTTATAACATCTGTCCACATGTTGCTGCGTGCTCACGTCTCTCACGCTGAGAGTTTACATTTATATCTGCAGGCCTGTTTTTTTTTTTTTTTTGCTCATCAGGAATGTGCCACTGACAGGAGGGATACGGCCGCTCGGCCGGTGTGTTCGAGTTCAGCTTCGTTCCCAAAACACAGCCGAAGCAAGCGGTGTTGTCAAAGAGACGAGTGATGAGGAGAAATGATTTGTCTGCAGTTTATATAAAGTTTTCAGCAGCGTAAACTTAGTTTTAAATCAATTTTAAAGCTAAGTTTGGAACATTCTCCAACCAAACATATTAGCAAGATTTCACTCACTTAAAAGGTTGATGTTCGATGCGTTCACTCGTCTCTGTTTAGCACCTCTCAAACTGTGTAGCATCTTTTCTTCATGAAAACTCAACTACAAAGTCCCACTTTGTCAATTTAACTTCAGCGTCTTCAAAGTGTTGCAGCTGAGAAAAGTGATCTCTCTCTCTCTCTTCCTGGAGCCACCCGGCCATTATCCAAATGAAGAGTTTCACTCCTGAGCTGAATCACACCTACTGTCTATAAAATGTTTACAGACGTGAAAGCAACACTCATTTGAAAATGACTAACGTTTAAAGATGGCGTATACAGGTTTAAAAAAAAAAAAAAAAAACTAATCCAACTTCACATCACTTGTGACCATGAAAACCTGCTGTGATGTTTAAAGGGTCTGGGTTTGTCTTTTCTTCAGCTGCTGCACTGACATATGCTCAGATGTAATGAAACCAGTCTTGTAGTGTGCGTCCTCTTTGTGTTTGAATGATGCGTCCTCTTTAATCTAACGCTCCTCAGATGCTGTCGGTGTCTGTGCAGCGGGTTGATAATTAACGTGATGGGCCTGAACCTCGCACGGTGTGACCGTGGGTTGCCAGGTTCATGTTAAATGTCACTGAGAGGTGTGTGAGGGGGTTTTCCTTGGGCATCACGCTGTGTTCAGCTGTAATGAGTGTGAGGTTTGCTTCTGCAGTGGAAAAATACGAGAGTCCTTTGTTGGTGTTGCGTTTACTGACCCTCAGACACTTGACAATTAGAAGAAATACTCTTTTTTCTACTAAAACATTTAACTTCATAAACAAAAAGAGAAATACCAGGTGCTCACGGTTATGACGTTGTAAATGTAAATGGTTAACTTTAGACAAAGGGAAGCCAGGGCTTACTTCAGGCACACATGGTTAAAATGTCTTTAATGTATTAGGGCATGTCAGAGTAGAATAGGTAACAAGAAAAAACTGGTTTCGACCACCGCAGGGTCTTTCTCAGGGCGCGGTTGGAAAGAGAAGTAAATAAGTTCCTTCAATTTGCTTTAACCCTATAAAAGGATGCACAAATGATCTGATATAAATCTGATACCTTAGTGCTGACATGAGTCGCTGCATGAGAAAGTATTTTATTGACAGAAAAGCTGGTAAAAATTCAAAACGTCTTTTTCCCTCTTTTCAAATGTGACTATTTACTGCTTTTCTCTCTTTTACATTGTTTTGATTGAACATATTTGGGTTTTGAACAACAAAAAAAAATCTATTTGGGACACAGCGATGGGCTTTGTTTACTCCTTCCTGACAATTTTAAAGACTAAATGATTGATCAGCTCAGTTGTTGAATGGAAACACGCCTCGTCTTCCAGTCAGCCGGGCGTGTAAACAAAAGCCTGCAGTGGGATGAGAGAGAGACGCACGGGGCGCCGGTGATTACACATCAGGCTGATGAAGCCTGTCAGGTGGTTTGACATGTAAAATCACAGCCGTCGCCGCAGTGAGTGGGGGAGTAGCTGTTTCAAATGTCAGCTCTAGTCTAGTGCAGAGTTTATCGTGCATACAGCCAAAACCCTGAGTGATACCGTCACTGCGTAACTGTACGGAGCTGTCGCCAGTGACTCTGATGGTTCCTCTACCCTTAAATAGTGATATTCTATCATTTAAATCATCTTTTTAATTAATTGAAAAAACAAGAATCTTACCTCCATGTTTCCTTTCACTTTTACATCAGTTACATCAGCAGCAATGATCAGGTACATTATTATCTAATAAAGTAGATAAGTTAGCATGTTAGCATGTTATGTTAGAGTTCGCTCAAATTGTTCCATTGCTGAACTAAAGCAGATATACATTAAAGATGCAATATGCAATTTTTGCCAAAACAGACTTACTGCAATATCACTGACATGTCATTAAATCCTTTATTAAACAGGCAGACTCACTGAGATCAGGATCTCTCTTTGTACAAGAACAGACCTGCATTACGCAGTTTTTAATCTCCAGGGGGGAAAACATGCCAAAACAAACATACTGAGATCATTGGCATATGTGGCTATTACAGCTAATGAGTCTGTAAAAAACATCCAGTAAACACAGATATATATTTACCATCGTACTGAAGTCGTGTCAACCTGATAGATTTTAATTTCAATATTCACTTCCCTTTTAGCTCTGGTTTTGGTCTCCACCAGGTCTTTATCTGCTAAATGCTCCACTATGTTAACCAGCTGGTCTGTAACTGTGTCTGTCTGCTGTTAGGCGCTAGGCAGGTGCTTCACATGTTAGGCTTTGGCTGGAAGGAAGGTCGGTGAGAGTGAACCGGCCGACCATGAAACCAAAACAGTGAGCTAAAAGGTGCTAAAACGACCTGTAGCGCTGAGGCGAACAGCGGAGTCGGATGATAATTCTCTGTGGGTTTTTCACTTTTACATTACACATAGTCATTTGATGCATTGTTAATATAAAAATATGAATTATTGCAGCTTTAATAATTGGACCCAAATATCCGTGCTCTTATTTTTAGTTTCTACTGACGTTTTTGCTCAATGATCATCATGTTCTCATTTCTTGCCATCTTGCACTTTACATGGTTTTCCTTCTGAATTAATCATCATCTGATCTGTGTTTATTGTTCCCACATTAATCAGACTCATTGAGCGTGTGATGTGAAAGGCCTGGTGGTATGGTGTTCATTTCCTGTATTTCAGTGTCCGATGCACCATCTAGTGGTTAGAGTATTTCCCATGATGCTCTCATGTGCTGCACGTGTGAAAACTGTGCATCAGTGTCAGACAGTTACGAGTCAGTCATCAGACCCTAATTCACATTTGACCCAGTTTAATATCATGAGATGCAGCAGCCGTTTAAATGTGAGCGCACGCACGCGCGCGCGCACACACACACACACACACACACACACACAACCTGCCGGCAAAGACACACACTCACACAGTTTAAATTAAACAACTCTCTGTCTCAGGTCACATTTTCTCTGCTCCAGTCAACAGTCTGCAAAGATGCTGGAGGCTGATGAAACTAGACAGGACTGTTTGTGTCACTGTAGAAATAAAAACCAGGGCTGAAATCAAAATCAATTGATTAATCAATTAAGTACTTTTAAATTAATACTAACAATATAAGAAGAAACATTCATTTTTTCATGAAAAGAGAGGAAGAAAAATGAAAAAATTAGATGAAATAAGAACAATTGTGAGTCTTTCTTACCTTTAATATTTTGCTCCTGCCCGTCTCCACAGGGAGGCCAATGCTTTGCTCAAGGACAATTTGGAAGATTGGACTTTTAGTGTTCTTACCATATTTGTGTTTTTTTTTCACCCTCAGTGGAGAAAGCGGAGCGGGAAAAACGGAAAGCACCAAGCTAATCCTGAAGTTCCTGTCGGCGATGAGCCAGCACTCCCTGGAGGTGTCGTCCAGAGACAGGACGTCACACGTGGAGGAGGCGCTGCTGGAGAGCAGGTACCTGCTCGTTTTACCTCCTTGATTTATTTCTGATCTCATGTTTGTCCCCTGGTTGTTAACGATCCTGCGCCGCTCTTTCAGTCCCATCATGGAGGCCTTTGGAAACGCCAAGACCGTCTACAACAACAACTCCAGCCGCTTCGGGAAGTTCGTCCAGCTGCATTTCAGCCAGAAGGGCAACATCCAGGGAGGCAGGATCGTCGACTGTATCCTTTAAAACCTACTCGGTGTTAAGAGGCTGCCGCTTCCTCTCACTGCATATTTCCTACCCACAAGGCTTAATATACAGGAAGGCAGTGCTGCTTTTAAAGGGGAAAGACGTGCAGAACAAGGAGAAACCACCTTCTTTCATTCGTTTTCTTTTTTTAAAGTTATTTTTGGGCATTTTGTGCCTTAATTTGAAAGGACAGTGGAGATTGATGGGAAATGCAGGGATAGAGAGTAGGGGAATGACACACAGCAGAGGGTTAATTATGAATAATCACAGCAGTGTTTTTCTATCATTTATGAATATAACAAACAAACTGGGAGGAATGTGACAGCAAGAAGTAAACTGCACTTTGTTTGTTTGCTCATGTAAATAAAAATGTCTCCAATAATCACATTTTTAATCTTCCATGACTCTGGTGTTCATGTTTCTGGAAGGGAAGTCTAACTGGCTGCAGTTTCAATTAGCTTTAAGAGCATTTGTCGTGATAATCTTTGCCTGGTTTGTCCAAAGGACACTTAGCTGAGTGGTTTTGTCAGTGGTTGTAGAGTTGTGTAGTCCTCTCTGACTGTTTTGTTCCTTGACAGACACTTTTCTGATGACAGACCTCTTAGAGAAGGTGAGTGTCCTTCCTCTTAGAAACGTGTAAAAGTCTTTTTCAATCGTTCTTAAAAACCTCCTGCAGGGTTGAAAGGTGGCTAAAGGTTTTTGTAGCAATGGATCCAATGATGACAGCCTTTCACTCCTTTAAAAAAAAAAAAAAAAAAATAGTATTGAAAACACTGACAGAGACTTCTTAAACCAACCCAAAACCCAAAATCTGTCTCAAGAATAAGAAGGAGGTTTGAGAAGCTTCTGTGTCGGGAAAACATCTCATCTTCAAGCTCATTGTTAGCCGACACCAATTCAAAGTGATCGCGGCTACTGAAACTACAATGTTTGAAGAGCCACTTTTCAAACCAGCAGAAGGTCAGAGAAGGATGCCCGACATGTGAATGTGTATAAAGAGCGATACTCCCTCTCCCTCCACAGAACCGCGTGGTCCGGCAGAACCCAGGGGAGAGAAACTACCACATTTTCTACGCCCTGTTAGCGGGAACCAACAGCCAGCAGAGAGGTGAATGAATAAACATCATGTCCTCGTCATGCCCAATCGTAAATCGTAAACATACAGTCGTAGTAAACCTCTTTTTCCTTTTTGCATCACAACTTGTCAAAACCGAAAGTTTCATGAAGTTCTTTGAATTTAACAACAAAAATTTGGAAGCTGTGATATCAACCTGTCTACATCTTTTGTGCTGTCGATGTGACCACGTGTGCGTTTTTTTGTGACCACGTGCGTGTGTTTGCGTGTGTCCGCAGAAGCGTTCGGGTTGACCCACCCCGACAGCTACCACTACCTGAGGCAGTCCAGCTGCCTCACCGACAAGACAATCAACGACGAAGGCGCTTTTCAGGATGTTCTGGTACGGAAAAGATTGACCTCTGTATACACACACACACACACACACACACACACACACACACACACACACACACACACACATTACATTCACTTAAGACTGATTTTTAGGCAAGGGAAATTTGTTTGTATAGCACATCATCATACACGGAAGTCATTCCATGTGCCGAACAGAAATATAAGAAGCATAAAGAATAAAAATCATAATATAAGATGATGAGCATAATAAAGCAGGAAATATTTGGTGCTGTTACTTTATAATATTTAACAGTTATCAATCAATCATTGGAAAGAATTTAAAATAATTAATAATTTTTTTGATCTAATATGGTCTAGATTTAAAATGTTTTGTGCCACTTTATATATTTGACTCAACAATCCCAACTCACTTACGAGCTTTTTCCAGAGCTTTATCAGTGGATCAAGTTTTCTTAATCATCATGGAGATTTAGTTGACATGTGATGTCATTAGCTGTTTTGATGAATACGACTTTGCACATGTATTATGTTCCTGTATGGGACTCATTCATTCATTTGTTGATAACCATAAATCAAGAGTAAGAACATTTGATCCGGGTGAAACTGAAAAGTGAGATCACTGCTGCCAAACCCAAAACCAACAGACACGTAACTTCCAATCAGCTCCAAGCCCAAAAGACTGATCAGCTGCTGAGGATGGATCAGAACTAACAGGAGACATTTTTACTCCAGACCCAAAAGAAACAAAAACCGGCTGGTGAGGAATTAAACGTTAATCCGTGAAGAAGTAATCTGAGGAGCTCATCAACCTCCTCTTTGTGTTTTGTGTTTTCCCAGAATGCCATGCGAACGATGCAGTTCACGGAGGAGAACATCGGGGAGATCCTGCGCCTCCTGGCTGGGATCCTCCACGCAGGGAACATCGAGTTCATGACGGCCGGAGGAGCGCAGGTCTCGTCCAAGTCAGGTCGGAGAGCTTCCCCTCGTCTCCCACACCTTCCTCTTCTTTACACCTCCTTCTCCTCCTCCTTCACTGTCACACTCACTGTTTTCTAACTTATTTGGTGGTTTTACATCATCACAAGAAAAAAACCCTCAGTCGAATAGTTTTCCAGCTTTTATTTTGTAGGTACGACCTGCAGTCTGTTGTCTTTTGGTTGGACTTGTTTAAGTGTCCTCTGCCCTCCTGCTCTCCTTCCATTCCTCCCGCTCTCCTCAGGGACAGTGAAAACCTCTGTCTATCATTTTTATTCTATATTTTGTTCTTCTATGTTTCTGGAACTACTGAAACGTATTTCAAAGAACAGATTTTTCAAAATAAAATATCCACAGTTCGAGGGACAAACGCCAACATCAAGGTTCATTAACTTTCTCTCCACATGTTGGGCCTCTGTGTCTCATCTGGCCCCCATAAGGTGACTTTATCACCAGGAATGATCAAAGGTCAAAGGTCAGGCTTAAGATTACTGAAGAGGCGATCAGCAGTTCACCTCCTCCCGTTATTTTACTAGATTCAGCAAGATGAATAAGAAGTTGACGGATGATAAAAAAAGTTTTTACAAGCAGACGTCTTCTGAGTTTTAAAGTGAAGCTTTATGTTTGTTTGTTCCTCACATCAGCAGCTCTCAGCCGCACGTCCGACCTCCTGGGGCTGAACTCAGACCAGCTGGCCGAGGTCTTGACCCACCGGTCCATGATCCTCAGGGGCGAGGAGATCTCCACACCGCTCACTGTAGAACAGGTCAGTGAGAGAGACCTCGATATAAGAAGCTCCGATCATCTCTGCTAAATGACCCGTCACACATGTTAATGTGTTTGTAGACTCCCTGTAATTTTCTTCAACACTTCTTCAAGAATTATTTAAAACAATCAAACAAAATGTATTTATTTCTTGTTTGTTTTCGAGCTGTGCACCAGTAATATTTTCTTCCCGCTCCGGCGCAGGCGGTGGACTCCAGAGACTCCATGGCCATGGCACTTTATTCTCAGTGTTTCAACTGGATCATCCGCAAACTCAACAACCGCATCAGGGGCAAGGAAGACTTCAAGTCCATCAGCATCCTGGACATCTTTGGATTTGAGAACTTCGAGGTGGGTTTGAACTCTCCGCCAGTGAATTAGCCGTCTCATATGAGACCAGAATCTAATTACCTGTCAGAGATAAATAAAATTAACCTAATTAATTAAATTTCACTGAATTAAATGAAGTACCAGTCGCTCACATTCAGTTAAACTCAGGAGTATGAGCTTCTATTCTCCTCTACTCAGTATTTTAATCCTTTTAATTGTTAATCAGTAAATCAGTAGAAACACACCTCAGGGATTCCTTGTTTTTCCAGCTCGTTAACTCTCCTCTCCGTGTCTAATATCTGCCCACAGGTCAACCGCTTCGAGCAGTTCAACATCAACTATGCAAACGAGAAGCTTCAGGAATATTTTAACAAGCACATTTTCTCCCTGGAGCAACTGGAGTACAACAAGTAGGTGGAGGCTGTTCCCTCGCGGCGGATCAGTTTGTTTTTCACCTCCAAACTCCTCGTGTCATCTGACATTACTCATCCCCCAAAACTACCAACAGTGTGGTTTCTCTCATAATCGGGAGTCTTTAAACTTCAAGCATTTTCATCACGAGCTGATGATCTGTCCCACAGAGGCAGAGAGAGAAACTGTGAAACTGAGGGAAAAGTCATTTCCAGGTTGACACAAAACAAATATTAGAAAATCTGATTTTGGTGAAAGTAAAAAAAAAAAAAAGCTTGAATCTGTTCTGTGAAATTAAATTTATTTCGACATTGAGCCTCCAAACTAAAAGGAGGAGGCAGTCAGGCTCTCAGTCATCAGGAATATTTATACCCAACAAAAATATAAACCCTGTAGTTTTTACTTGCCTGTCATGAGTTGAAATAAAAGATCTGAGACTTTTTCTATAAACACAAAAGAGACACACGCGTGCGCACGCACACACACACACACACACACACACACACACACACACACACACACACACAAAGTCTTGCATTTATATTTTCGTACAGTGTATATTTACAGGAAGAGGAAAGAGACGGATTAAACATGAAAATATTCAAAAATGACACATTTGTAGCACATAACAAGTAGAGTTATTCTGATACTGATACTAGTATTAGACATGCCTACTGTATCGGGTATCAGCGAGCTACACGAGTCTATGCACTGATCCAATACCACATCATTTATTAATAAACGTTATAGTGTCACACGCGGAAATCAATTCTTCTTCACTGCTCTAAAACAGTAGCCTACACAGGAAGTTGGCGCTGTGTAGCCACTGGTAACTACTGTTTTAGAGCAGAGAAGAAGAACTGATTTCTGGTGAACAGGTGTAACATTAGTGCCACCAGGCAGCATTAGTGTTGGGACAACTAGTGGAGGAAGTTCAAGATACATTTTTTTATGACTGACAGTTAAATTAGATGATAAAAGAAAGATCCTATGAACACGTTTCTGTTCATGTTTTACAAAGGCCCATGCCAAACAATAGGTATTGGAATCGATATCAGGAAGGAAAAACTGGTATTGGAACATCTCTAATGAAAAGACATTGAACATAAACACTTAACACAAAGACACAGGGTCGAGACTTAGACCATGTATTTTTCATTTCGCCGCTTTGAACCCTGTTCCCCTCAGCTATCATGGAAACTCCGAGCACAGACTGTGACCTGCCAAGTTTTGTGATTTCACATAAACAAAACATCATCTCATAACCACCCAGTTTTTGTTTTTTGTTTTTTTAACCCAGAGTTTACAGTTTGAACAAATCGTTACCTGATGTTTCTGAAAGACACAGAAAACACCGCTGATGACGTATTAGCTCAAAGGCAGCGAGCGTAAACCGTCGCCAGCTCCAAGTCTTTTTATCATTTGTAAATCTGAATCCTCAGAAACTTCTTTCTATATCTAATTATGGAAAGCACTTTTTTTTTTTTCTTTGAAATTGTCTCTGACCCTGATTGTTGTGTTTGGCTGCTTCCTGCAGGGAGGGCCTGGTTTGGGTTGACATCAACTGGATGGACAACGGAGAGTGTCTGGATCTGATCGAGAAGGTGCGTTAGTGATTTATTGATTCAGAAAAGGTCCGGAGGAAGTAGGAAGATGATGATGATGATGATGATGATGATGATGAGTGTTTCTATGAAATATTTCTAGAAAGGCTTGTTGCAGATGAAATTAGTTAAGATGTCATATAAGGATAAACATGAAAAAGTATTGATCACATGATTATTAGATAGAGGCGGAGTGAAGATTAAAGAGAGCAGAAACAGATGAGGTGATGATAGTGGTGAGAATGAGAACTACTAAGATGATGATGATATTAATCATGAAGATGATGGTGATCCCCTCCGTTTCCATAGAAACTGGGTCTCCTGGCACTGATGAATGAGGAGAGTCACTTCCCCAAAGCCACAGATGACACCTTACTGGAGAAACTCCACAGCCAGCACTCGGTACGTCTCCGACACCACGTTTACCTTCACGGCCTGAGCACCTGGTGTTCAGTCCGACGCAGAAATAAAACCACTGTTTGAAAAAACACTCAAAGACAAAGAGCTGCAGTTTTTTCTCCTCATTTAACATCAGGATGAAGAAACATAAAAACTCTGGACTTTAAACTTTATAGTGTGGAGCCAAAATCTCTGCTACCCACTGATTTATCAAGTCATCATGATCGAATTGAACTAAATGGAAATAATCCATCCTTTTCATTACTCATGCACTCACAGTTCATTTTCAGTCAACCGCCATTAATAGTCTTTGTATTAATAATTTAATGAAGTGTTGATCCATAAGAAGATATATTTGTGGTTTTAAGAACCAAAAACCATCTCAGTGTAGTTTTACATCTCCTCTCTCAGGCTTCTTTCTGGCGCTCTAGTAACAACAGGTCAGTGAGCCAATCAGAAGAGAAGAGGCTCTGAGCCCCTCTTTTGATTGGCTCACTGTTTTCTGAGTGATCTAATAAAAATATAGCAGATTTCAGGTAAACACTCAGAGAAAGCAAATCCTGCAGGAATAGGTTGGTGGGTCCAGGTGGGCGGGGCTTGGGGCATGGCTGAGAGCGATGACTGCTTTGTGGTGACATCACAAAGTTCCAGAAATGCTGACAGCTGGTTTTAAGGCTCAGTTTCTGAATACAGGCTGTGTGCATTTCTCTGTGGACTGAGGCTTTGATACTTTCACAGTATTAATATAGAAGCTAGACCTGATCTATAATCAAACTACACATGGACATCTACCTTTAGACTATATGGAGCTTTAAAATCTTTTTTGAAATGAACACTGTGACCTAAAGATCCAGTTACCAGTGCAATATCTTAAAAATGTGGTATTTACATGAGGGTGGGTTTTAGACGGTGGAGCTGCTGTCCACAGTCTGGTGATTTGTTACCACAGCAAAAGAGACGAAGCCTGGAAAAGGTCAAACCTTTGTTTACTCTTGACATAATGTTACACATGATCTGAACCAAGACCTCGGGATTTACACAACACAACAATCTGTTATGGCTTCAGACCAGGGATCCATCTAATCACTTTGCAGATAAAATCCTGACCGTTTATGTTTTAAATGACACGCTAATTGCTGCAGATACATGTCTACAGTTGTTTTCACATCTGTTGCTTGATCCCTGTGCAAAGCTGTGAAGAGAACAGCTTGACTTGGTTTAAACGCTGATGTCACTGCAAGTAGAAAACTTTCATTTGAATAATTATGAGCACTTGCAATAAATACTTCTCTCTAGCACTTAGCGAAGCTTTACAGCCTCGTTAAAAAGGATTATGATCTAATAAATCACTATTAAACACATCAAACCAGAGACATGAAGACTGTTGGGACTCAAAGAATCCTTTTAGTGTTTTATGTTTGTTTTTCTCTTTTTGCTGGCAGAGATGATGTCAGTCAACAGCTGATCAGCTCTGCCTTCAGGAGGTAGCTGTTGAAAGAAAAAAGTACTGAATGAAATCATTTTCTTTCTGCAGAAAAACCCTTTCTACGTGAAACCACGAGTTGCTGTGCACTTCTTTGGAGTCAAGCACTATGCAGGAGAGGTAGGTGTCTGTGCATTTTTTTATTCCAGTGTTAGATCTGTGTAAAACTGTGTCCAACATTATTGATGGGGCTTCAATTTAAAGTGAGCAGCCTCAGAGGAAAGCACTTGTCCAGACGCTGCTGCTCTTGTGTTCGTTGCCATCTGACGCCCCCCTGTGGCTGGTTGCAGGTGGTGTACGACATGAGGGGGATGTTGGAGAAGAACAGAGACACTTTCAGAGACGACATCCTCAACATGCTGAGGGAGAGCAGGTACACCTTTGTTTCTAATCAAAGTAGAGGCTTGTGGCAACAAACTGCTTCATATTTCTGCTGCTGCTCCATAAATCTCCATATTTTGAGCAGAGGTTTGGAATTAGATGCCTTGCTCAAGAGCGTTACATTCATTTTTTCCTCTCATCCCCCCAGTACCCCATCATGACAAAGCCGAGTTGTAGAAAGTGACAGACGTTTTCATACATTTTGATACGACGCTTGAAATTTAGCTGAGATGTTTACCATTTTCATGTCTCTGCACCATGATTGGAGACTGTCCTGTAAAAAAAACGAGTTCATAGTTCGTCTGTGCAGCAGGTTATTATAACCCATTGTTATGTTTTGTTGCTAGGCAACATCTAGTGGTCGTAGTAATTATGACAGGAGCAAAGGGGACTTGTTTTCATTTAGATGTTTAGGATATGGTCCTTGTCTGTGCGCAGCTTTGAGGTCTCACCATTTTGTTCCTCAACATCTTTGTTTTGTCAAGCAATAATAAAAATGGAAAATGGAAATGCTTTACTTCCTCTGTGAGACACACAAACCGGATTTTTGTGATTGTTGTGCTGACAGTTAATATGATATTGACTTTATTTTGTGGTATGAGCATCAGTGTTGGTAATATATAAAGATAAGAGTAGAGTGAGAGTCCACAGTGTAACTAAATGGACAATTGTGTAAAACATATTTTAATGGCAATTAAAATGATCATGATCCAACTGGTACTGAACCCATGTTTGTTTCACATCATGTGTGTATTCTAAGTATTTCCTCCTGTTTGTCAGGCTGGACTTTGTCTACGATCTGTTTGAACACGTATTGAGCCGAAACAAACAGGACACTCTGAAGAGCAGCTCCAGACGGCCCACAGTCAGCTCCCAGTTTAAAGTAAGTCGCTAATAAACTGCTACATGATATTTTTACCCAGTTAGATCTGACTGTACCAGTAGTTACACTGGCAGCAGTAGCAATTGTCGTAGTAGCAGTATTAATACTGTAGTAGTTTATAACAGTACTGTAAGTGGTTGTAGTAATAGCGGCACTTGAAACTGCTTCAAACATAGTCGTGATCTTATTACTAGTTAGTAAAGTTGTATTAGTAGTAGTGAGTAATACTGATAGTGGTATTTGAAGTTGTGGTAGTAGTAGTAGCTGCTGTTGTTATAATAGAGGTGTAACTGTTGCAGCTGTAGAAATGGTTGCAGTATTAGTAGCAATAACTTGAACAGGTAATAACTTGTTATACAAGTTGTAGTAGACACAGTAGTTGTAGTAGTAACGTGTGATAAAAATAATAAAGATAGTTTCTTTTACAGTATTGCAGTATTTGCAGTCGTAGCAGTAATAGTAATAGGGGTATATTATTTAGCAGCAGGTATTGTTGTAATAAAATGCAGTACTATCAATAGTAGTAGTATTTCCTCTTCTAGAAGTATGAACAGATTAGAAGGTGCTAGTAGTAACAGTAGTAGTCTCAGTATGTGGCGTGCTGCCTCTGCTGTAGTCTGCTGCTACTAAAAGTATGATTGTGATGTACACAAAGAATAATTAAAAGAATTATATGAGTGAACAGAATTGAATAAATTACATAATATATTTAATATTTGTTGCAGTGGTAGAAAAAAGTTATTTTCAATAAGAAGAGTTGCACTGGTAATTCTTATAGCGAGTATATTTATGAAAATGAGTAATGTAAGATCCAATAGAAAAATACATATTTCTAATAGGACTGTGAAAGTTCTTATAGAATCATATTTCCTATTAAGTGCATATAATATCTCATAGGATTAGCAGAAATGTTTAGGAATCCTAAAGGATTCTAATGGGAAAAGACTTTTTGCCTATGGAGAAATATTAGCAGTAGTAGTAGTAGAGGTACCAGAAGTAACCATAGTAACACAAGTGTTTGTGCCTGTTTATGTTGTTGCAGAATTCTTTGCACTCCCTGATGGCCACACTCAGCACTTCCAACCCGTACTTTATTCGATGCATCAAACCAAACACACGCAAGGTGAGTGCTCTTGAACACACACATGTATGTACACACACACTCACACACACACACACACACACACTATTGTGCCTTCAGCAAACATTATCAGCTCAGGATGTCGGAGCGTAACAGAGTCTGTGTGTGAATAATTTGTCATTTAATAATCAGAGAGCCCCCCCTCCCTAACAACCACCCACAGACAGGAATGAGAAGGGTCTGGCCCCCTTTTTGTGCCCTTTGACCCCAGGTTGCTTAGCAACAGGCTGGAGTAGTGGAGAATGCGGGGATAATGTACACAAATGATATACAGGACAGAGAGGTGGGATTCTGTGACTCCCACTGCTGACTGGAGATGATCCATAATATTGTATTTCATTTACGTTTACTGAGTGACTCTGACCTTCATCCTGTGACCAATTATAATTCAAAAGACATCTCAGTTTCTCCAACCACTGAACTTAAGACAATGTGAAGTTCATATGATGTCATTAGTGGTTTTTTGTGCTGACAAACTGTAAAATTTGAATTCCTCATATCTCATTAAACCTTTAGTTTACCAAATATATTCTTCTCTCAGCCAAACCCGCATCACAGTTTATAGTAAAAATGGCCAAAATAGAGAATTTAGTACAAAACAGCAAAGACACGGGATTGTTTGACTTGACAGTGTGGAGTCACAATAATAGGTTTGAAGTAAGTGACAACTTCGATGTGTAGTTAATGGCCACTACATGAGCAACACAAAGATATCAATACTTAAACTGTATTGAGGTGGATGGAAAAAAATCTCATCCCCCTTTCTGTTTTTTATCTTTCTTAAAATCCAGAAGCGTGAAGCTGTAATTCTCTGTCCAATCAATCTGAGTGTTTGGCAGTTTAACGACACAAGTAAAGGATGATTATACAGTATATGTTAGTATTCAACAGCTACACACGTGGTTTCATGGTTGAGGCGCTTGTTGAGGTTTTAAAGGTGCACGTTAAAATGATGGGTCTCTCAGATTTGAGAAAAGCTCTCGTTTATGTTTCAGCTCTGCAGGAAGATGAATGAAAGAAAGCCTCTATGAGAAAACACTGAAAACTGAAGCGTTTTTCGACTTTTACCAGTGGCAAGAATGACTGCTCTGTTGAGAGGATTTCAAGGCTTCGTTTGCAAGTTGCTCTGTTGCGAAGTGTCTCAGTTCATTGTGCTCCATCCTGGTCGTTGCTTCTTCCTCCCTGCACCACCTCGGCACCAGCCAGGCTCCACTCTCCTTTCTATTTCTGGCTGAGCTTCCATGACGTCACATGTTCGTCAGGCTGCCCGTGTATCGACTATCTATTTTTAGTCTGTGCGGCTCAACTCATTAACGGCATGTCAGAATCAAAACATGGTCAGCAGAGAATCAGTCGCAGTGATTGCTGATGAGTGAGTATTGATAGGTCGTCAGTGATGTTTTCTCTCTAAGAGAATTTGTCCCTGCTAATTGGCTGTCTGATAGAAAATGGCATGTTAATTAGCCGACTGTGGACATTTTTTGAAATTTTCCCCAAGGTCTGTGGTGCTGCTCTAATCCCTCAGACTCTATGATGAAACACTACAGTTCCCAGTAAATCTGTAAAATTTTCTCAAAATCTTCAACAAATCCCAATTTAGAGTTAAAGCTGTTGGATTTACAGTCCAACAAAAAGGAGTTTGTGCAGATGCAGTAAGAATATCTGGAAGGTTTAGAGGTGGAGGAGTTCATCCTCAGGCTGTCTTATTGAAGGTTAGATAACAGTGGGTAGAAACCACTTGTCCATATTAAAAGAACTAAACAAAAACAGTTCTTTTCACATATTTTGGGCTGAGAATTGATCGTTTCATCAGTGGAAAATCATGTTGATAATTATTGTGAAGATTGTCGTGCCGCTGTTGTATCAGACTGCGTTACGTTGTCAATATTCACACACGCAGCTGTGACGGAGTCAGACGTGGACACTGGGAGG